TGTGTGTGTGTGTGTGTGTGTGTGTGTGTGTGTGTGTGTGTGTGTGTGTGTGTCAGAGGAAGCTGGTTGGGTATCTGATTCATCAACCACTAGAATCCGGCTTCTCAACTCAATTGGAGATGGTCCTCCAACGAGGCAGTCGTTGCATGCATTCATGCGGTCTTTGCTAAAGGTGATTTTGATCTCACAGCCTTCATTCCCCTGTTTTTTTTTTTTTTTGTTTTTTTTTTCCTGGTTCAGAAATCCGTGCTGGAAAAAAAAGAAAAAAAGCATCCTTGCTGATCATTCTTCTTTTTTTCCTTTAAACCGTAAATCTTCAGATTCCTCACATGCTGCTCTGCTCATCCTGTGTGTTTGTCCTACGGTATTCGTCACGAAATTCAATTAAGATGTTCTACATGCAGGTGGCTTAGTGCAGGGAGCCTTATATTCAGTAACCCCAAAATATATAAAAAGTATTATAAAGTTAATAAAAACAAAGGCAGGTATATATTTTAGAAGTCTGTGAGGTCTGGCTGGTTTGTCTCCAGCTCAGACAGGTACCAACCCACCTGTCTAATGAATTTTTGCGGTTTTAGGCTAGGCGACCAGCTGGGCCACCCGGGTCACCCTATTTTCCCGGGCGGCCCGGCCGTGCAAGGACTAGGGAAGGTCCCAGCCAAAAGAAAAAATATAAAAAAGAATCCAAAAAATCCAAAAAAAACTATGTTATGCAGAAAAATAAACTGAACAACTTTTGCCTCAGGGTCACATCGAAATTCGTTACCAAATTTAAAATAAAAATTTTAATGGCCACTTTGGTAGCCTAGGTTTTAGGCAGAAAACAAAAAAGATCAAACCGGTCAGAAAGGGTCAGGAAGGCCTGAGGAGAGAATAAGATATACTTTTTTTTTTTTTCTCAGAAACGATTGTGTGTGAAACCAAAGGCTTTAGCCTAACAACAAGGAATGAATAAAAAAATAAAAATAAAAATAAAAAAGGAATGGAGCAAGGCCATGCCAGCGTTGCCAGGACCCGAACACCGGAGCAATCCAGACGTCCGGGCGGACTTCTGTGTGGATGGCTCCATACCGCCCAGATTGACCTCCCCCCCCAAATAAAAAAAGAATCGTTTTAATCTTTTCCCCTAAGGCTACTTGCCTCGCCCGGCCGTGGAACCCAGGCAAGTCGCCCAGGGGTCACCGGCACAGGGCGCCCCGTGCAGGCAAAAATCAGCTGTGTTTTTTTTTGTTTTGAACCTTTTTTTCCCCTTTGTGGGTGGAGGTTTTCTGAGCATGGTCAGAGGAGCCCAAATCCGGGCTCCTTTCTTTCTTCGAGTGTTGGCTGCAAAGGGGGAGAAGGTGTGTATAAATTTGTTTTTAAGGGGCTAAAGGGGTTTAAAGGGGTGATTCCGATGTTTTCTTTTTTATCTTCGATTCTGTGAGGAATTTGGATGTGACCCTCAGCCAGAAGTCTGTCTCTTATACACATCTAGATGTGTATAAGAGACAGCCTTACATCCTCCAGGTCATTTCAGTGCTCTTACCTTTGCAGATAATTCATGGACCCTATGGGACAATGGCGATAGGGTGCACACAGCGAGAAATATTAAATTCTTTCTATCACCAAATGGTGGAGGATCACTCAGTCTGGCTCGTCCATCAGGAACAGTATGTCGATGAGCACTTGCAAGCACTGCACCCCCCGGAGAGCAATCCGGCTGATTGTACCACAAACAGTGAAGGGACCTGTCCAGAGGATGGTGGCTGTGCCCTCCCATTGTGTCTTCGCACAGGTACGGTTCGGTTGGCATGTACACGGCATAGCCTCTGCTCCGAACACTATGAAGGGATGGTCGCTGCTAGCCTCTCCCACGAAAACTGTGATCCCCCCCCCCCCCCCCCCCCCCCCCATCCCCTGATTACGTGCCCAGCAGGATGTGGTGACCTTGATCTGCCATGCTTGAATAACTGTGCATGTCAGCCTTCCATACGGATGACATGTCAGGAACATGCTGTCATCAATGTTTCCAGGGAGCTGTCATAGAAAGTATGTGTCTTTACTGCGTGGACTATCCCCGGTGTCATCACCCGCCACATCCTCTCCTAGCATGTCCCACATGCGATGTTGGTCATACACCTACGGCAACCGCAGACGGATCTTCCTCTTCCTTGCCAGACGTACGACAGATACAGCAGCCCGAGGAGGAAAATAGACACCTATATGAACCGCCTGCAGAGCGATGTGCTGATAGTTTATGGCCACCAGGGCGAGCTGTTGTGGACCAAATCCTGCAGCAGCTGAGCACCCTTGCTTTGGACCGATCCTCCCTGTCGTCGTCTGCCCATAGAGAAGGAATGAATACTAAGGAAACCCAAGAAAGATGCTCCATGCCGCTTTGCGATGACCCGCCAGAGAGATTCAACTAGTATGTGGTTCGCATGCCTTGTGCCGTGAGGATTATGAAGGGATAGTCCGTGCGAGTTTTTGCTTACATACGTACAACGACAGTCTGTACTGTACTCATGTACTTCACCCTGACATGTCATGTCTTATCTGTAGACAGGGGCTGGAACGGCAATGCCTCTATAATTGAGGTCGACGTGCGTCCGTGTTCCTAGCTTGTAGGAGCCACGTAGCCTGTGACATCTGTCTGCGCCACGCCATTCGATGCAGCAACTGTGACCGGGAAATTGGATGCGGTGCTTTCACAGTCCACACCCGAACCGGTCCTGTCTGGTCTGTAGGGGTGGCCACTTACCATAGGCAATAGCTGCCACTGATATACTGGAGGAAGGTGGGGATGATGTCAAGTCCGCATGGCCCTTATGGGCTGGGCTACACACGTGCTACAATGGCAATGACAATAGGAAGCAAGGCTTTAAGGCGGAGCGAATCCTGAAACATTGCCTCAGTTTGGTGAGTATTTAGGATTCTGCGAAGCTCGTCATATACCTCTCCCCTGCCCTTTGGATGTCATACTCTATCCTGCCCTTCACATATTTCTCTCCTTCCCCTTGCACTCCGCCTCCCCTACCCCACACTCGTATAGAACTCTGCCTTCTATCCCTTTCCCTCCACCCTCCCCTCCACCCTGCCCTTTTGTGCTTCTAGCAAATACATACGAATGAGCATTCATAAGAGAACAGACGATATGAAGACCAGAAGTGAAATGAACAGGAGTATGAAGAGGAAGGACAGACACAAACACTAAGTATAAGCTGAAGATCTGAAGTGAAATGAACAGGAATATGACGATCTGAAGAGAAAAAATGCGCAGGAGCATACCTTCCCTTTTACACTGCTTTCTGTTAAAACGTGCAACAAGTGGGCCGTTAACGCACATGGGGATGTGGGCAGCTGCTGCTTAACCATCGTCAACATGGGCAGCCTTGTACGTGCGAGGCGTAGTAAAAGAGGACCTGTTGCCCCGAAGAAACCCCAACTAAACACGGTTCAAAATGGTTCTATTATGATTCATGTTGCTTGCTAAAGAATTGATTTCTTTAATTGTTGGGCTGGCTCAACTCGAATCTACTCGTCTGAAGTGGAATAGGGGCCGTTGTGGTGGATTTTTTTAATTTTTTTTTAAGCCTTGGCTGTGTTGTGGTGGAAATTTTAAACACACACATGGCAAATTGTTGAAATTGATATGTCACTATGGAGTTTGTTAACTTTGTTTGTATGATTCCCAGCCCTGTCTTCTTCTTCTCCTGTCTCCTGTATCCTGTTTGCCCTTGTCCATCAGTACAGCCGCAAGTTGTAGGACAAATGGTCTTTTCAACTCTTTTGTTTGTACTATGTAGTTCGATTATTTCAAGTATTTGCAATTTGTTAATTTTATTTCACATTTGGTGAATTTATATTTGAATTTGACAAATTGTTATCTAATTGCCAAATTGACTAGTTTCGAGTTTGTGAAATAAAAAAATGTCTAATAAACTAAATACTGAATAGTAAAATAGTAAATAGTAAATACTAAATAGGAAATAGGAAATAAATTAATGAATGAATAATTGACATGTCTGTGCGGATCGCACTGTGCTGCAGGGATTTACAAAGGAGATCATGATGGAGAGAGAAAGATGGTTTGGGTGGGTATGCAATGCTTTTTGTTGCATTCAAACTTCAACCCCCCCACCCCCCATATATTTCAACGAGGGCTCTTATGGTGACGACTGACCACTGAAGGGGCAGTAATGACACACTACACACCAAAACCTCTGCCGATGTGTGTTTGTAATTTTTGTTAACTTTTCTTTTCCCGCCTTCTTTTAATGTGGTCCAATGGACCATGGATCAGATACTGAAGTGCAATCAGAATATAGACTCGACGATCTTTTAGCCAGAAGCTGGAGAAAAGTATGCGATGATGATGTGTAGTAAATTTTAATTGTAAATATTAATTAGTAATTAATCATTCCTAATCAGTACTAATTACCAGTAATTACTACTAATTACTACTAATTAGCACTAATTAGTAATTGCACAAAGTTCCGACTATATCATCATCCCAAGCAGGGATGTCTGGCGTTTAGTCCTTGAGGGGTGCAGCGCATGTATCGACAACACATGAATGACTTCCCCGCTTATTGTCCGCACCGACGCCCCCCCCCCCCCTTTTTTTTATATTTTTTTTGCATTATTTTGCTTGTGTCACTCGGTCGGAGGTTTCAGCATATAGCCAGATTTCATTGTTTTCTTGATGAGCAAAAAATGCACGCGTGTTGAAATGGTAGGCCAAATCCCGACTTCCTAGTATATTATTTTTACGAACATATTGACTGAATCTCTTGACTGTGCAGTGTCGGCATTGTGGCCACTGTCTGCCTTTTTTTTTTCTGCTTAGTTCTCTGGAAAGATTCAATTGAAAAAGTATATTGGTTAACCATGTCTTGTCAGCCAGATGGTTTTGTCAACGCCCTCCGATTTTCTAGAGACGGTTTGGCTATCCATAGCCAGCATTCCAAGCGGGGAATAGCTTGTCAACCAGATGGCTATCTCCCACTTGGAATGCTGGCTTTGTATAGCCAAACCGTCTCTAGAAAATCGGATGGCGTTGGCTATGGGTAGCCAGACCACCTTTTGATAACCGGATGGTCGCTATGGATAGCCGAACCATCTCTTGGCAACCTGATGGCTATGGCTATTGGTAAAGCGTGCCTTGGTAGCCCGAGGGCTATTCCCCACTTGAAATGCTAACTATGGATAACAAACCGTCTCTCGAAAGCTAGATGGCTTTGGCTATATGGATAGCCGAACCCCCTCTCAACAACCGGATGTTGGCTATGGATAGCCAAACCATCTCTTGCCAACTAGATGGCTATGGCTATCCATAGCCACACCATGGAATGGGCTGGGGGGTCTATCAGATCTTCTCAGTGAGATTGCCTAGCGAGAAGGTCGCGGCGTCGACATATGAGCGCGAGTTATTTGCTTCGAGAGAAGCGCTAAACCACTGGCGACACTATCTCCTAGGAAGACACTTTGAAGTCCACTCTGACCATGATGCACTACGCTGGCGGAAGACCCAGGCCCGGATGACCCCTAAGTTGACTAGGTGGGCGGATGAGAGAGATCAGTTTGACTTTGAGTCAAAGCCAGTCAAGGGCAAATACAACGTCGTCGCTGATGCGCTAAGTAGACGCGCAGATCTCTTCGGTGCCGTCATGACTTACCTCGATGTAGGCACCGAACTGCAGCTGCAGATTAAGACCGTGTATGCTGACGATCCCGTTTACAGCGAATTAATTAAGAGGGTGCAGGCTGCAGCACACAAAGTCCCGGACTATAGAGTAACTAACGGACTACTATTCGAGAAAACGGACAGGTTTGACAGGCTCTGCATCCCGAATAACACTGTCAAGAGTTTGATCTTGGGGGAATGTCACGACACTGAGGGCCATTTTGGTTGGAAGAAGACTTATGCTTATCTCCTCCGGTCCTACACCTGGGTCGCCATGAAGCACGATTGCATTGCCTACATCCAAGGTTGCCAAGTATGAAAAAAAAAAAAAAAAAAAAAAAAAAAGGTTGCCAAGTATGCCAGCGGAACGAGAGTTCCACACAGGCCCCCCTTGGTCTCTTGAGACCATTGCCTGTCCTGCCCGGTCCCGGTGACTCCGTGTCTATTAATGTTATGGACACGAAGATTAAAAGCAGAAACGGGAAAAGTCAAGTGATGGTATTAGCAGATCGATTTAGTAAATTTGCTATTTTTATTCCGCTGCCTGCTGAGGCGAAGACCGACTTAGTAGTAAGAGAATTCTTTCATCATTGGGTGAAAGACTACGGACACCCACGGACGATTGTTCGTGATAGGGATGGTAGATTCACGGGCGAGCACTGGCAACAATTGCTGAAATTATATGAGTCAAAGTTGACCATGTCATCCTGTAAACGGAGCAGATGAACAAACTGCTCCAACAAGTGCTGCGCATGTACATTAGGCCTGACCAGATCGATTGGGACGAGCATCTTCCCAAAGTGCAGTCTGTGTATAACAATGTGCACCTGTCAACAGCACGCACCCCAAATGAATTGCACAAGGGTTGGCAGCCCCGGTGTGCAATTGACTGTTTAAATCCGGACCAAATTCAAAGATTGCCGCCCGGTACGAGGGAATTTGCCTTTCACTATGAGAAAGACTTAGAGCAGGTGAAAAAGAACATCCTTATGGGTGAAGTCTAAGGAGCTCGTTCCGGAAGAAGGGATCTCACAGAAACTGTTACCTGCGTATAGGGGACCATGGCAAGTGTTAGATGCTAAGGGAGAGGCAGATGGTCCGCCCTACACTATCGAGATTCCATCCCACCTGCACACATACCCGGTATTTCACGCGTCGTAGTTGCTTCCCTGCGTCGCGAATGATCAGTTTCTGTCTCATCGTTCCATGATTCCACCAGACATGGATGGAGGTTATGATGTGGATAGAATAGTGGCTGAAGATGTCTTCCGTACAGGCCGCAGAGGGAGACCGCAGAGACAATACAAGGTTAGATTTGCCTATCAGGAACCCAGCGAAGACCGCTGGCTCTTCAGGGAGGAACTAATACAGACAGCTGCTACATTGTCTCCTTTTATGAGAGGGCCCCGAGGGGAATGAATGTGTACGACCGGTAAAAGTAGGATTTTTCTCGGAGGACCTTGAAATTAGGCTGGTGGGAGTGAAAGGATTCACACTGCAGACACCCCAGTCCCGGTCCTGGTCCCGGTCCCAAAGTGTCTCAGTCCCAGGCTGTCCCGGCAGGATAGGCCGTAGGAAAAGAAGGCCGAAGCGTCGTAGGTCCATAGGGGTCGGTACCGAAACGTCGCAGGTCGGCAGAAGCCCGTCCGATACCCGACAAGAAAAGTCCAGTCCAGTCCAGCAGTCCCACGTCCAATTTTGCAGCGTGTCCCAGGAAAGTCCGGAAGCTACCGGACCAACGAAATGTTTGCAGCAGACAGGCTGCGGCCGACCGGTACCGGTCTGAAGCAGGCCAAGCCAAGGCAAGTCCTATATTTAGCTGCTACAGTGCAGCGGCTGATCACTTGTTCAATTGCAAGATGCGGAAGCGCTGCTGCTGCTTGTTCGTAAAGGCAACTTGGGCACTTCGCGCCTGACAGAGGAAGAGGGCGCTCGAGAGTTACTCCATAGCTAGGGTAGACGAGGGTAGGGAGTAGGGCAGCCATGCCCGCCAAGTATGAAGCTTACCTGAGTGGGTGTATCCAGGGTTATGAGAGAGAAGAGGGAGAAGCCAGAGAGAGAGAGGGAGAAAGAGAGAAGCCATAGTCGCTGTCCAGTTGAGCTCAGGCCTGAATGTGTGTGAGTGCGGCAGAGCCGCTGGAGACATAAACATTTCTTGTACAATAATGATGATTTTTGGAGACGACTTCTTCATGTGTTGATTGCATCCCGGGTTTGGCCTCTCACGTGTGCACTTTCGTGTGAATGTTCATTTGATGTTTGCGAGGTATAACTTGACGAACACTTGGTTCATTTCACAAATACTGAACGCTAAATAAAGTTTAATAAACCCAGCAGTCCGGTAATAATGAAAATTTGGTCTTTTTTTTTTCCTTTTTCTTTTTCTGGGTCTTTGTGTGTTTTGTCTGTGACAGATTCATCAAGGATTATGATGGTGGGACTCTGATGGAATGTGCCATTCATCCGAAACTCCCTTACACAGATTTTCCGGCCATGATTCGCAGGCAGCGGCAGGTGAGTTGCAACAACTGGAATATTTTCGCCCCCATACCACCATATCTCACATATCATTTATAATTTTATACTTATCGTATTATTATTATTATTTTGTTAGGTTATTATTACTATGTTTCCTCTTCTGAACGGCCTGTTTACAGTCTCTGGAAGACGATACCAAGTCACTCAAGTATTTTTTTTCTGACTTTTCTTTTCCTGGTTTCGTTTGCTGAAAACAACCGCCACCCTTCTCTTTCTGGCTCTCTCTCCCTCTTTCTGGTTATCATGCTGCGTTTTCCCTTGTCTTTGTGAAGAGGGTGAGAGAACCGGAAAGAGAAGGGACATAGTGAGGTAGGAGGGATGGGAGGCGTTGGTGCGATGGGGGGTGAGGGAGGGAGGGTGGAGACCTGAGCTGCAGTTTTTGTGTTTCTCTCTTGAAGCTCTTTTCTGCCTTGAGACATGGAGACGTCATGATTTGAT